CTCTGTTTCAAAGAAATTAACATGACCAAACGACTGACTGTTCAAGATCGAGCATTAATTGCGACTCGATATGAGATGTGGCAGTCGGTGATTGAAGTACAAAGATGGTGGAGGAGTCAACAGGGCAGACATGCGACACTTCATCCAAATACTATCAAAAACTGTCATCAGAAGTTAATGACAACTGGTTCTGTATGCGACACCGAACGCTCTGGAAGATATTCAAGCTCTCGTTCACCAGAAATTGTTGATATCGTTCGAGAAATGTTTACTCAAAGTTCAGAGACTTCCATTAGAAAGGCCTCGTTAGACACTGGTTTGACATATTACACAATTCACTCTGTTCTTAAAAAAGAACTGAATTATCGTGCATGGAAACCTCACTTAGTACAACAAATTTTTCCAGAAGACTGTGATATTCGTATGGAATTCAGTGAAATTATGTTCGGCTGGAAAGACGACTGGCCCGAACTGTTTGACAACATATTGTGGTCTGATGAGGCTATTTTTCATGTCGGAGGGTTTGTTAATCGACACAACTGTCATTATTGGGGTGATAAAGATCCAGGTATGAAGATTGAGAAGATGCAATCACAACCGAAAATCGTGGTATGGTGTGGATTTACCTCTACCAAATTTATTGGTCCATATGTGTTACATGACACCATGAATGGTGAACGTTATCTGAAGATGCTAAAAAACTTGGTGTGGCCTGTAATTAGTCAATGGAGCAATATTGATGAACTAATATTTATGCATGACGGTGCACCGCCTCACTATGCTCGCACAGTTCGGAATTGGCTAGACAATAATTTTCCTTTAAAATGGATAGATCGAAGAGGACCAACATCGTGGCCTCCAAGAAGTCCCGATCTCACTCCGTGTGACTTCTTCCTTTGGGGCTGGGCAAAAAATGAAGTGTATAAAACCAATCCAAAAACTTTAACAGCATTGGAAGAACGAATTCATACTGTCCTCAACAACGTTCCTCAACAGTTTCTGAAGAATTCAACGAACAACGTTCAAGTTCGATTACAAAAAAGTATCGACAACAAATGAGGTTATATGGAATTTTGAGGCATTGCATATTACGAAACTAGATACACTTCAAAGCAGTAAAAAAGTTGTTATTGTATCTGTTTTCCTATAAGAATAATAAACTGCTTAAAAGATGAATCATTTTCATGTATTTTAAACCAACTTCGTGCTTCATCTTAGACAGTCAAATAATCAATCGACTTATTTCATCTAGAACAAAATGACATAGTCCATGCTTCAAGATGGTGAAAAAATCAGGACGACATCTTTTGTTGTATGAGAGTAATAAAGAATTTAAAATAGCTAGTTACTTTTCAATCACCCTGTATATTGAAAAAAAGGAGTTCAATAATCCTATTAATTTGTTAACTAATTTTTTTTGCTTGATTCAGTACAATAAGGATAAAAATTTGATATGAAAATTCTTAGTTAGTGCACTGGAACAAGGATTAAAAATAGCTTTATATCACAAACATACTTTCTGCTTTTCGGACTTCAAAAAGGTGGCAGCACGAGTCACATCACTACAAATGACTGAATCACCATTGTAGAAAACTTTTGGAAGATATGTGAAGTATGAGGAAGCACACTACTGATATTACTGATATTAGTTTCTACTCAATCTATCTTGTTTTTGTTGTCTCAAGCAGAGAATGAATCGAGTGACATTCCTATGTAGAGAAATAGCAATACGTTCATTTAATATCAGTGATACAGTAGTTTTGTCCTTTGTTTTTGAAAAAGCTATAGAGACTGGTCTTCTCGGTTTGTTTTCGTTTGATTCAGAAGTCTTTATTATGGATTAGGCAACACCCTTGTTCAGATTAATCAATCGCAAATTTCCATTCTATCATATTTTCAGCGATGTTTCATGGTCGAAGTTGTCTGTGGGAACTTCCAAGAATATTAGATTTTGTAATCTTCGAAATTAAACTTCCAACAAATTTTGCACAAGAGAGACATCGGCATCATTGAAAAATATATCTAGCCTATTATCTTCTTTGATTATTTTTGATAGTCTTAGCTATGTGTTCTGAGAACCAATGCATCTGGTGATTTACACAGTAACTAGTTCTCTAAAAATCAAAATTTTCATAAGGAATCATCAAGGTTTTTAGTGGAGATGTCTCATATTTTAAAGTTCCATCTCATTTTTACTAAGCTGTCTAAAGCTTTAGATAGCTTAAACAAGCATCTCAGGTAGATATTGGTTCGAAACGTTTAGAAAACTTCAATATCACTCTTTTTTTTGGATGCAGAATCCTCTTTATAAAGTTTAATTCCTTAATAACAAAAGTTAACCGGTCACGTCCTTATCATTGTAAGAGTTAATCTTTTCCTCCTTACGATTCTATTGCAAATTTTTTGGATCAAAGCAGGTCTACTATACGGAAGCAGGTATTTCTCTTTTATGAAACTTGATACAGTTTATCAAGGTCGAGGAATCTAAATTCACAATCAGTCTCTAAAAATTTTAATATTTGATTCTTCGACCATGAAAGATGTATTACGAAAAGATAACTATGTATTTAGGGCATACCAAAAGTTCGTAGAGTGATACCTTAATACCTTATGATAAGCTCTAAGTAACTTTCTTTCTATTCAGTCTGATAGAGAAAAAAACGATCTATCTTTCTATGCTATTTGATCGTACTTCAACTAATATAATAATATTAAATTATCTATAAAACCTAATTCGGTTGGTTATGTGCTGGTTGTATGAATGCTAGTGAGTATTTTTTGAATAACTTTCGATAGAAATAAGATAGAGAAGTGCGGTTTTCACCGTTAGAAAGAGGAGATGAAGATGCATCAAATCACATATTACAGGTCTTTCTAATATTGATTTCTCAAGTATTTTAATTCAATTTGGTAACTGTCGGAAAAATGTTTTTTTTATGAAGAAACGGATAAAGCACAAAAGTTAGCTTTTTCCATAGAGTTTGCTACAAAATCATATTAGAGTTCGACTAGAATGCATATTATTCATCTTACCCTTCCGCACTTTGTAGATCTTGGATTAATGCTTTGAATTTATAATTGAAAATTGAAAATTCACTGTCAACAACTTGCCAGATAAGTTTGTTCCTAAAAAGGTCAATTGAAAATCCTACAAAAAACAGATTAGAAAAACCTGAAATAAACGATTCGATGCGTCTTCATCTTCTCTTTCTAATGGTGAAAACCGCACTTCTCTATCTTACTTCTATCAAAAGTTATTCAAAAAATACTCACTCATATTCTTTTAGAAAGAATATTAATACAATCAGCACATAACCAGCCGAAATGAGTTTTATAGATAATTTAATATTATTATATTAGCCGAAGTACGATTAAATAGCATAGAAAGATAGAGCTTTTTTTTCTCTATCAGCCTATATAGAAAGAAAGTTACTTAAAGCTTATCATAAGGTATTAAGGTATCACTCTACGAACTTTTGGTATGCCCTAAGTACAAGTTAAATAAATCATGAACAATTATTAGTTAAACATTAAATTATGCTGTTTCTCTTCTTTAACCTTATCTTTGCTTGTCTATTTCAATTTTGAACATGATAATCTTAACCATTATTTATGTGAACACTTATTTATCATCGTAAATAATCTACGTGATTTACAAAGAACAATCAAAGACATCCCATGAAAAAAGGATTCACACGATATTTTAAAAGATTTCATTTTCTACGTATCTAAATTCGTATTCTGTTTTTATGTAATCTTAAATATTTAATTGTTTAAAAAGGTCTTCCAGATATTTTAGTCTTGTTCGCATTGAAAATGACATATATTATTTAACATATGATAAATAAGATGTTCATTAGATGTAAAACAAATGTATGCTATTAATTTTCAATCTTCTCTCTAGCTGTTCACAGATCATCAGATGTTTTCTTTCACATAAAAAGAATTCGCTCAATATTACAAAGAGAATTAGCAATTGTCTTACCAAGAGACATGATCTACTCTGTAGTTCGGCAAAAACTGAATATAATCCTAAAAGACAACGAATTAAGTTTAAACGAAGAATCAGTTGAGGACAAAGAGGAACTGAGTGTGAACTGTGAGACAGCTATGGAGGGAAGCATTTTTTGAGTAGTATACATAGTGGCGTTTACAGGATTTTAGCGATGGTAGGGCTCACAGCCTAGGCAATTGGGTTGAGCCTAACCCTGCCCTACCTTGGTGACGCCACTAACGAGAGAACCTTGCGACTACACTTGCCGATCAATTTCAACTTAAGAAATAACCATATATTTCTGGTTATCGATATTACCAGTACTTCGTCCTAATAAATAAAAAATATGTCTAACCGAACATCTTGGTTCATTACGTAGAATAGCTTCTAAAAAAAGAGATCGATAGTTTGAAGCAATATTTTCGAGATTGACCGGTTTTCAAAGAGAGATAACTTGATTCAATGATCAATGTCGGTGACTGACATCTTCTGTAATTCGTTTTATGTTAAGTAATGAATTGGATTTCCAACTCAGTATCGTTTGAATATTTCTTTCTTTTTTCAACAAACTTGCTTACAGCGTCTGATATACGTGATTTTTCGTTTCTTATCTGTCAACAACATAAAATCTTCTCTTGCTTCTACTTCGGAATAGTTTCAAAATAATTCAAGTCTATTGATATATTTTTGAAGTAATTGTAATGTTTTTTTAAATAAAAGGCAACATGAAGAGTTTGCTTTTATTAAATGATATTGATGAATATGTGCCTTTTTCTTACTTATTATAACAAGTTTAACATAATTGACAAGTCATGGATGGTTGATCACACATGACAAATGACATATTGATTGTTTATACAGAATTGTATGATGAAAATCGTAGATGTATCCAACTGGTAATCCATTTTGCAATGATATTCTTGCTGGTTGTGTATTGTGGAATAACAACTGTAATTGTTTCACATCCAATAGAAACAATATTAATCCAACGAAAAATCAATTCATCTAAAGTTTATCGAAATACCTTTCATCCTCTTCAATTGATATATCAACGTCAACGTATAATCAATGAATTTGTTCTATCTTTTCTTGAAACTCCAATTGGTCTTATATTTGAACAAATTCATGAAAATTTAAATCGTCAACAGACACATGATTTTTGATTTTCATATAAAAAATTATTGAAAATGCATTTATGAGAATAATGGTTTTATGAGCATAAATTTGTTCTGTGATAACATCAATATTTTATTGTGATGGTTATGAATATATTAAAAAACATTTTTATCAAACCCATTGTCAAATACGTCCATCTGAAAACAAAAAGAAACATTTACGTTTCAATATTCTGTTCAGAGTAGAGCATTAGGTGGACTTTGTGGATGGTCGATTTATTATCCTTTAGATGTAATTAAATCAGAAATTCAAATAGATGATCTCAGACCTGGACATCGAAAATATATTTCATATTTTGATTGTATCAATCAAACAAATCTTTCAACAACAAAATATGATGAAAAACATTTTATCGTAGATATTTTTCAGGTATTCTCAAAGCTATTCCAACAAATGCAGCTTTTTTTTTGCTTACGAAGAAGTTTATCGTTTATTAGAATAAACATTTACAAGTCTTAATTCTCTTATATATCATCAACTGATTTTACTATTGATGAAAAAAGTGTTTCAAAACCCCATTGAGTTCTGTAATTTGTGGTTGTTTCACAGTTTATTGATACGTTTTCTCAAAACATCAAAACTCTGTAAGATAGCAGGAAATGTTTGGATAGATGATTATGCTGTCTTTTCGAAATATACTTATCGTTGAAAATGTTGAAAATTCGAGCAAAGATAGAGTAGAATACCTATTGAAGAAATACAATCTTGAATAGTGGAAAAGTTTAACAATGGAACTTCGATAAGTTCAAATGAAAGAAAACATCATGGGACTCGTTTTTGTTCAACATCAGAATATGTGATTGATTGGATGTGATTTTGCTTGTTTAGTGCTGTGGATTGACATTTATTATTGGTGTTTACTACAAATGTTATCGGTTTGATAGAGGTGGGATGTCGTTTTAATACAAAGTATATTCATAAAAAAAATAAAGATGAAAATGATGTTGCTTGGTTTTGATATTATTAAATAAATGTAACTGATGACTTTAAAATTATTTAGATTGCCAGGAGGATATTGAGTTGAAATTCAAGGCTAATCGAAATATGTGAGATGTTTTTCTTGAAAATAAATAAAACGAATTAGAAAATACGATTTTTACTGTATGTTGTCAAAGAGTTTCATAA